TCCTTTATATAGGGTTATTTTGGAAAGATTGTTATAATCAATTTTTTAATTAAAAGTTGATAAAAAATTGATTATAATTAATTTTTTATGAAAGAGAAAAGTGGATTATAATCTAAAAAGTAGATTATAACCCACTTCTCAAAAGATCCCATAGTCGCATCACACATCTCATAGGAATGATTCAATTCGTTGACGTTAAGAAAATTATTTACCTAAAAAATTAAATTAATCACATATTAGACACCATATATTTTGATCATATTTTTAAAAAGAATTAACTTATTTTTCAAATCATATTTAGTTTTTATATTTTTTAAGATAAATATGAAACGATCATGAAACTAATAATATTTAGGTAAACTATTAATATGTTTTAATAATTAGACTTAATTATTATCAAGTCTTATTAAAAATAAATCTTAGTAAAATAGTCACTAAAAATAATTTTTTTGTGGCTATTTTGTACATATCACTAAAAATTAAAAATTAGTAACTTTTTTTTGTCACTGTTTTATAAAATATTGTTAAAACTTACAATTAGTAACGTTTTTCTGTAACGAATTTTTCAAACTATCGCTAAAAGTTGAAAATTAGTGATGATTTTTTATGATGGTTTTTTTAAACTATCGTTAAAACTTATAATTAGTGACATTTTTTATGATAAAATTTTCAAACTATCGTTAAAAATAAACAGTTAGTGACTTTTTTAATAGTGTTCAATGAAAAACGTCATTAATTATCATAGGACTTATTAGACAATAAATCTACTCATTAGAACTTATATGTAAGTCTCCCTAATACTTAGGGGGGTGCTTGAGAAGAATTTTTTTTAGGCTTTTTGGACTAAAATAACACTAAAAGACAAAATATTTAAAGAGTTAATAAGGCAAAATATCAGATCAAATTTATAATGATTTCACTTTTTCTCTCATAAATGTTGCATCAAACTGTAAAAAAAATCTAACAATCTTCTCAAACATAACTATTTTAACCAAGTTAAAATAATCTACGAAAATAACCAACTTCCCAACCGAAACCTTAATAGCAAACCTGTTATGCCACATCATAACCCTTTTTTTTGACAAGTCAATATTTTAGTTGAAAGTAAAAAAAGTCACTAAAAAAATTAATAGCTTATATCAAAAAGTTAAAAAAAAAATTCTTTACTTTTTACACATCTTTTTGTAAAAATTCATCCCAAATATATTAATTTTTTATTCTCATATTTTAGTCAAAAATTACTAAAATAACATGTTCTCAAACGAGGCCTAAGGGTTGTTTTGGTGAGTTGGCTAAAAATTAACTTTTCAACTTTTTTTTTTTTAAAAAAAAAACATGTAAAAAAATAAAGAGGTGATATGACCCAAAATAAATTAAAAGTAAATTTTGTTTGCGTTTGGTAGGGTTTTGTAAATATAATTTGAGAGTATGAGTTGTATTTTGAGTTTGTGAATTGTGAAATTATGATTTGAGTATAGAAAATTTGTTTGGTAATAGGTTTTTAAATAGAGTGTTGAATTGAGTTTTGAATTATATGTAAAATTGAATTTTGAAAGTTTGATTTGACATGTGAAGTAAAAAAAATTTTTTGCTTATGAGTTTTGGAAAGAGTTTTCAAAACTTAATTCAAATTGTTATAACTTATAACAAAACACACTACTTTCACTCTATTGAAAATTCTGATAAACACTCATAACCAAACTTTTTTTAAAATTCAATTAAAAAAATTTATTATTAACATAAAATTACATTAATCAATTTTTTAATTGAAAATACTACAAAGAAAATAATTTTTTTTCAAATAAATATTCAAAAAATTTAAATCATAAATATTTAAATAATTTAAATAATCTAAAAAATTTAATAAGTAAAAAATTAAAATAAATATTCAAAAAATTTAAATCGTAAAAATTTAAATAATTTAAATATTCAAAAAATTTAAATAATTTAAAATTTATTATTACTATTATTATCTAATTCTAATATAATACATGCGGAAGCTATTACCATAAACAACAATAAATAATACGATATTGGGAGACTTTTCATACATATGATAAAAATGAACTACAATTGAATGACAATGCCCTTTCGTAACCAAATTACATAACAAAAAAATTAAAATATTTAAAAATATTTTTATAAAATATAGTTTGAATTTATTTTTATAAAATATTTTAAAATTTAAAAAATTCAAATCGTAGTATTTAAAAATATTCAAAAAATTAAAAAATTAAAATATTGATTTGAATTGAGTTTTGAAAAAAATTTTGAATTATGTGTTTGATTATGAGTTTTGAAAAGTAATAATTATGTTTTTCATTGAGTTTTAAAAAATGAGTGTAAAATTATGATTTGAAAGCTTAAAACAAATATCACACTTAAATTAATGGGTGAAACTATAATTTGAGAGACTTAACTTTTAACCAAGTCCCAAAATTAGACATAAGTCTCAATTTAATAATTTAGTCGGTTTATCCTTCAAAGTTAGAAACATAGAAAAATGTTAGGAATTTTAAAAGTTTTTACCAAGTATCTTATATAAATGTGGGATCCACACCATGTGAATCTCACGTGAATCCTACAACCATATAAAATATTTAATAAAAAAATTAGTCAAATTTTTAAAATTTCCAACATTACTCATAGACATATTCATGTAAAATAATATTAAATTAATGCTCTCTAATGATTTTATTATGATTTTAAGGTGTAATTCAAATCGCTCCTTTTATGTAATCTATTAAGTAAATAATTTGGATATAAAAATGGCAAATTACACAAATAGTTCCTATAGTTTGGGATTTGTGTCACTTTGGTCCTTGACTTTTCAATTGTCACACATTTGACCCTGAATTTTGAATCTTGTTTCAAATAAGGACAATTAAAGATATTATTGTTTAATTTCAAAGGTAAAATCATCAATTTAATAAAATATAAACTAATTTGACCCAAAAAAATGTCAAAAAAATATTTTTAATTTTTTAAAAATTATTTTTATCCACCAATGATAAAATTGTTTAAAATTAATAAAAATTAATAAAAATTACATGATTAATTTTTTAAAATTAATTTTACATGATCATCATCTAAACACATAATAAAAATTCATTTGGTAAAAAAAATAAATAAATGTTTAAAAGATTTATTAATTTTACATAATTTTTTTTAATGGGTAGAAATAATTTTTAAAAATTCAAAAATATTTTGTTTGATATTCATTTTTGTCAAATTAGTTTATATTTTATCAAATTGACGATTTTACCCTTGAAAAATCTAATAATATTTTCAATTGTCCTTATTTGAAACGAGATTCAAAATTCAGGGTCAAATGTGCCACAATTGAAAAGTTAGGGACCAAAGTGACACAAGTCCCAAACTATAGGGACTATTAGTGTAATTCACCCATATAAAAATATAGGTTAATTATAGGGGTGAGTAGTAGAAATACCGATCCGCCAAAACCGACCGAACCGAACCGAACCGATCCGTCGCATTTTGGACGGATGCGTGATGATAAGCGAACGGTTGCGGATTGATTTTCTCCAATCCGCCAATCTGGCGGACGGATGGCGGATTTGAGATTCCTTTGGCCGCAACCGAACCGCCAAACCGCGAACACCTCTAGTAATTTATAAGACTTTGTGTTTTCCGTTTGTTTAAATATTCTGTTTGTGTTTTCAATTAAAAAAGAGTTTAAATATTCTGTTAAAAAAAATTCAACTTGAATATCTTTTTCTAATTGAAAAAAATAAACGTATTATTTATCTATATTTTTTGGTTTTTAAATCTATCTCTAAAAATAATAAATAAAAAATATGATATATGCTGGTAGGTTTTTATTTTTAAAAACAGATATAAATGTAATAATACAGAGACATACAATCTCTACTACTACTATATTCATGATTTTGGTGATTTGAATCGTTTTTATATTTTAAGAACCACAGATTGTAATAGTTTATGTAAATGAGGCATGTTGCGATTGTAGTATGTGGATGAGGCATGCAGCGATTGTGATATTCTAAAGTTTCAAACTTTCTTACTTTGGATGAGGCATGCAGTGATTGTAATATTTTTTTAAGTCATTAACTCTAATACTTTCTTCTATTTTTTTTTTTATTTTTAAGGAAGTGCATAAGTTGAATTATGTTGAATATTTATAAAATTTTAAACCGCCAAACCGATTTGCATCCATCCTCCAAACCGCCAATCCGCTCAATCCACATCCGCCAGATTGGTAGACGGATGCGGATTGATTTTCTCCAATCCGCCAATCTGGCGGATAGATGACGGATTGAAGGTTCTGTGGCCGCAACCGACCCGCGTCCATCCCTAGTTAATTACATGTTGTAACTTTATATTGGGGTCACATTTTTTTCTTATAAAAATAATCCTTTATTTTTAAAATTATATTTATTATTTATTTAAATAAATGTTATCCAATCTAACAACCAATAATATCTGATTTAATTTATATATATATATATATATATATATTTTAACGATCATAATCTATTCAACATGTGTTTGGCAAGTGGGTTTGCAGGTTTTTTTGGCTATTTTAGTCACAAAAAACAAAATAGGCACAAAAAACAAAATAGGCTATTTTAGCCATAACAAACAAAACATCACATCCAACCCATAATCATTACATTCTTCTCTCACAAAAAAATTCAAAAAAGTCAAAAAGCTAAAAAGCTCTTCCCAAACCAAACTTTTAAGCCCAAGCTAAAATAGCCTAAAAAGCCAAAAAACTAAAAAATCAAAAAACCAACCCACTTCCCAAACGGAGGTTCAATGAAACAGTTGATATTATAAAAATCAACCCAAAATCAAGCCCCACTCATGCCAGGTAACCCGTACTCGTGAGTCAACACTGCGAAATTTATTTTGGGCAAGTAATTAATTAATCAGACAAACACGGGACGCAATATTAATTGAAAGTTCATCTCTACGCGTTATTATCACCATCCAATTGTCTTCTCATTCTTATTTATCTTGGTGTGTGGTGGAGGGCCTTCCCTTCCCATATACCTCTCTCTCTCTCTCTCTCTCTGACTCTCTCTCTAGAAATGGTAAGAAGATGACAACAACAACAACAGGAGGAGAAGGCAAGTCAGGAACTACTGCAGCAGCAGCAACAACAACAGCATCACAAGAGTGCTGCATGTGTGGAGATTTTGGTCTCTCTCATGAACTCTTCAACTGCAAAGTCTGCCTATTCAGATCTCAGCACAGGTACCAATTCAATGGAGGATTAATCCAAACCATCAATCTTAATTTTCTTTGTTTTTCTTATCTGGGTCTCACCTTTTGTCTAAATCTCAATTGATACATATATATATATATATATATAGTATTTTTATTCAATTGATAATTATATGTACCCCGGTATATCATATATATGGAATGAAAATCACATGCGTATCAATCAATTCCGGTTTCAATTGAGAACTATTAATTATCTTCTGTTTTTGGACCTCATCGTCAAAACTTGAATAATTGAACAGGTACTGTAGCAATCTGTATCCAAAAGCTGAGTCATACCAAGTCTGCAATTGGTGCCTGAGTCAAAGGGATGACAGAACAGAGAAAACAAACTCTTCCAATTCAACATCATCTGGTAGGAACAACAGCAGCGAAGATGATCGACTAATCATCAACAACAACAAGATCAAGAAGAATAATAGTGGCAGTGATCATTACAACAATCATGGAGGCCTAAAGGCTCATCAATATCATCATCATCATCATCATCATCATCATAAAGGCACTTCTCAGTTTCAATCCAGTGGGCCCATCAAGAAACAACGGTCACCGGAGAGATTGCCGTTGGTGACGGTGGCGGCAGCAGCAGTAGCCCGGAAAAGGGTCATCAGTGGTGGTGCGGTGGAGGAGAGGCTGAGGAGGACAAAGTCAGAGGAGATGTCAAATGGTGGGATTTCTAAACAAGTGTTCAGAAATAAGGTGAGAAGGTATAAGCTCTTGGATGAGGTGTCTAGCCAATAATGGTTTAGATCCCATTTGGATATGTATAAGATTTTCTATTGGCTTATATTAGATATTCACATGATTTATTAAATTTTTTTTTATGGGTGGGAGACTCATACACATGTAGATTCATGTGGACTCTATCTATGTGAGAAATTTGGTATGTAGATTCATGTGGACTCTATCTATATGAGAAATTTGATAAAAAATTTGATAAATCATTTGAGGTTCATAACATTTTCATTTTTTATTTCAATTTTTTTTGTCATTTTGTTTTAGATCCCATTTAGATATGTATAGGATTTTCTATTTCAAATTTTTTCTGTCATTTTGTTTTAATACACCCTAGTTGGATGGATGGTAGTATCTCAAAATTATTGTATTTTATGATTCATACCATTTCGTGCAATTGCATGTGTGACTCAAAATTTTTGGGATTGTGGATTCTAGCCATTTGAATGTTTGGATGCTCCTAACTGGCTTTGTTTGGCCTGAGTTATTTTAGCCAAATTTATATTAAGAAAAGGAGAATTTTTAATGAGAAGCATTCTGTTCTAGCCTCTAAGGTCACAAATTAAAATTTTTAATTTTTTGATTTTATAATTAATTTAAATTTTTTATTGACTAACTCTCATTTAAGCATTAAAAAATACTAACATATTATGCGTACTATGCATGAGATTGGATTTAAAAAATCAAAGAGTTAAAAAACTAAATTATAATTTTTTTTTTGGTAGACAAAATACAATCTAATCATCATGTGATCAAAAAATATAGAGATTGTAGCAATCTAAACAAATTTTTTTTCTCATCATTGAGTTAAAAAAAAAATTAATTGATATTTAGAAAACACAATTATTTTTTCTTCAAAAAACACACTAAATTAAAAGCCCAATCAGTTTAAATATAGCATCAATCTATATTTAAAAAACACAATTATTATTTTTTAAAAATACAGTGAATTAAAAAAACTCAATCAGTTTAAAAAATCACAATCATATTTTTACTCATACTAATAAAAATAAATGAAAAAAAGAATCATTAAAAAATAATAATTTTTTATAAAATATAAAGTCATTAATTATTAAAATAAAATGTAAAAAACTCAGTTTATAGTGATTTAAAAATATAAAATATATTGGATCATATCTGAAAATTTACAAAAATTGATCAATATTTATTTTTAACCTAATAAATATGATCATGGAAAAAAAATATGCGCATCGGTAAGTTTTTTTCAAATTGTGCAAAAAATAAAAAAATTCACGGGTTACACTACGGCCTTTACATCCCGCAACCGCAACCGCGTCACCGCCACCGTTACGGCGACCGCAACCGCTTTTCAGAACTTTGCATACACATGTAGATTTATGTGAACTCTATCTATGTGAGAAATTTGATAAAAAATTTGATAAATCATTTGAGGTTCATAACATTTTCATTTTTTATTTCAAATTTTTTTTGTCATTTTGTTTTAGATCCCATTTAGATATGTATAGGATTTTCTATTTCAAATTTTTTCTGTCATTTTGTTTTAATACACCCTAGTTGGATGGATGGTAGTATCTCAAAATTATTGTATTTTATGATTCATACCATTTCGTGCAATTGCATGTGTGACTCAAAATTTTTGGGATTGTGGATTCTAGCCATTTGAATGTTTGGATGCTCCTAACTGGCTTTGTTTGGCCTGAGTTATTTTAGCCAAATTTATATTAAGAAAAAGAGAATTTTTAATGAGAAGCATTCTGTTTTAGCCTCTAAGGTCACAAATTAAAATTTTTAATTTTTTGATTTTATAATTAATTTAAATTTTTTTATTGACTAACTCTCCTTTAAGCATTAAAAAATACTAACATATTATGCGTACTATGCACGAGATTGGATTTAAAAAATCAATGAGTTAAAAAACTAAATTATAATTTTTTTTTGGTAAACAAAATACAATCTAATCATCATGTGATCAAAAAATATAGAGATTGTAGCAATCTAAACAATTTTTTTTTCTCATCATTGAGTTAAAAAAAAAAAAATTGATATTTAGAAAACACAATTATTTTTTCTTCAAAAAGCACACTAAATTAAAAGCCCAATCAGTTTAAATATAGCATCAATCTATATTTAAAAAACACAATTATTTTTTTAAAAAAATACAGTGAATTAAAAAAACTCAATCAGTTTAAAAAATCACAATCATATTTTTACTCGTACTAATAAAAATAAATGAAAAAAAGAATCACTAAAAAATAAATAAAAAGATTAGTTACAAGCTTTTTGTAACTATGAAGGTGGCAATCTTTTTCCTTAAATTTTGTCCATTTTTTTTTTGGTATAGCGAAATAGGAAAAGAAAAGAAACAGAAGCAGAAAAATAAACAGAGACACTAAAGCCTCCTATAAGCCACTCCCACCATATCGGCAAGGACTTGGCTACGCACTTCAGCAGGTGGCTTCTCCACAACCACCAGGAATTCTGCTTGATCAGCTCCCATATTAGCAAGTATGTCTGCACATTGATTAGCTTCCCTATGATGTGCTGAATAGAGCAACAGCAACGTTGCAACAAGTGACGAGAATCTTCAACGATGCTTCGATATGAACAATTTGGAGGTGGGCCTTTGGTCAGAAGCTCCTCAGCCATAGTAGAGTTAGTTTCAATGATAACTTCATGGAGTCCTTTCTCCAAAACAATGGTCAGGCAGCGGTAAATGGCCTACATTTCAACTTCGAGGCTATAATAGTTTTCGAGCTTGCCAAAGAAACCAGACAGCCAAGTTCCTGCTTCATCGCGAAAGGCTTCACCAAAGCCTCCATCCCCTGGATTTCCACGTGCACACCCATCAGTGTTGAGTTTAATTTTCCCTGAAGAAGGAGGAAACCGGTTAATTAGAGTGGTTATCGGTGGGGTGGAAATAACATTCATACTAAAAGCTTGCAAAATCTGGTTAGCATAACTATGAATAAGGTAAAGACTGGTTCAAAATGGGATCCACATTATCAAAAACTTTTTTATTCCTGTCAAGCCAAATTTGCCAAAGAGAAGCAATGAAAAGAAGATTCCAAAAAGGGTCTGAAAGCTGCCGAGGTTTAAAATTCTTTTTTATCTAAGAGGTAAGACACAACTGACTATCAGCAAATAGCCATGGAGTACCAGCCACATTACTCCAAATAGTCTTAGTGACCACATAGTTGCGAAAGATATGCGCAGTGTCTTCAGTATGAAACCCACACGGAGGACATTCTGCATTATCAAACAACCCTCTTCTCATTCTCGTATCATTGGTAAGAAGCCTGCCAAGAAGGATCAATTAGAGAAAACATTTGAGGTTTCGTGGGATTTTCAGTTTCCACACCCATTCAAAATCCATATTCTCATCCACTTGATTAGAAGCAATTTTATAAGCTGTAGCAGTGGAGAACCCTCCCCCAATAGACCCCCTCCAATGAGGATTATTAGGGAATATGACAAAACGCGGCAGGGTTACTTTCAAAACATAGCCGAGAGCCTCACTAGGGAGTTTAGCATGGACCGCATCCATATCCTAGTTACCCTCAGCATCCAAAAGAGTAACCACATTTTCAAAGGTTATAAGAGGATGATTGGGGAAAATAGAAGCCAAAGCCTCTTCACCACACCACCAATCATACCAAATGGAAATGCGAGAACCATCACCCACACTCCATTTAATCCCTTTCTTCAAGATATCTCTAGTTTGGAGAATACCTCTCCAAATGTGAGAAGCAGACTTTTTTGAAGAATACGAGAATAAATCACTATCAGAAACGTATTTAGCCTCAAGGACTTTAACCCAAAGGCAGTCCTCCTTAATCAAAATTTTCCAAGCCAACTTAGCCAAAAGAGCTAGGTTTTGAGACTTAGCCATTCTCAGGCCAAGCCCCCCCCCCCATCTTTTTACTTTGGCACAGATTCGTCCACTTCACAAGATGGACTCTCTTACTAGTTTCAGTATCTCTCCAGAGGAAGTTACGGTTTAATTTATCAATATCATTACAAATACTCCCCGAAAGAGCAAGAGTTTGCATAGCATAAGAGGGCAAAGCAGAGGAGACAGCTTGAACCAATGTAGACCTCCCAGTCAAGGATAGCAAGTTCGACTTCCAACTGGTAAGTCTACATTGGATTTTATCCATAACAAACCAAAAGAAGTGACGATTACACCTCTTATGGATAAGAAGGATACCAAGATATTTCCCTAGATCAGAAGTCAAGGAGATATCACGCGCATTACTCAAACTCCTAGCTTCATGGCAAGCAATATTAGGAGAAATGAATAATTTGGATTTAAGTAAACTGATCTTGAGACCAGAAGCAGCATTAAAATCATTCAGCACCTCCATAATGGTATTAAAATTACTCACATCAGCTTTCCTAAACAATAAGAGATCATCAGCAAAAAAAAGATGTGAGAGGAGAGGCCCCTTATAAGAAGCCTTAACACCCTTCCACCTATTTTGATGAACTTTCTCAGATATCATATTTGAGAGTTTCTCCATACATAACACAAAAAGGTATGGTGATAGAGGATCACCTTGCCTCAACCCCTTCTCTATAGGAAACTCCTCCAGTTTCTTACCATTCCAAAGAATAAAGGCTTTTACATTGGTAACACAATTCATAATTAACTCAATCCAATGATCATTAAAGTTAAAATCAATAAGGGTCTGATAAAGGAAATGCCAAGACACGTTGTCATAAGCCTTTTCTAAATCAATTTTCAAGATCATATCATCCCTTTTGCCCTTAAGCCCTCTGAGAGTATGAATGATCTCCTGAGCAATAATGATGTTATCACAAGTCACGCGCTGTGGAATGAAGCTGCTTTGAAAAGGACCACCACTGCTGGCCAAAAGAGACCTAAGCCTACAAACCTAGATTTTAGTGAGGGTTTTATACAAGACATTACAAAGGCTGATGGGTCTGAATTGATGAATGGACTCAGGATTATCAAGTTTAGGGATAAGGGTGATAAGGAAATATTTAAGAGATTTTGTCCATCTCTCTCTCTTTAAACTTTTCCCCAATTCTGTCAATTACATTTTTTTCAAATAAACTCCCTTTAGTCAAAAGGAATGATGAATGCAAATAACAAAAAGCTATGTAATAGGCTTCGTTTAGGAAGAAGGGTTGGGTTGGGTTGGGTTGGGTTGGATTTGGAGCTATTTTAGTCACACACACAAAAAAAAAAAAGAAGGGTTTTTTAGCCCAATAAGATAAAACATCACATCTAACCCATAATCATTACATTTTTTCTCTTACAAAAAAACAAAAAAAAACCCTTCTCAAACTAGACTTTTTAGCTCCAGGTTAAAATAATTAAAAAACCAACCCACTTCCCAGACGAACCCTAAAGCCGTGATTGTATAGATGCATCCT